GTGTGTGTGTGTGTGTGTGTGTGTGTGTGTGTGTGAGTGAGTGAGTGAGTGAGTGAAGCTGCAACTGTAAGAGCAGAACACACCCACAGGAGTAATGAAAAGTTTAGATTATCAGACATAAATGTGGGATTAAAGGGAGGGCCTATCACCTCTCATCCAATCACATCAAACATCACTTACTGTAAATAAGTTTTACTCTCTTATTGTTATTGAATGAAATGAATTGGAGGCACAGAACTACATACTGTATGTGTTTATTAGAAGTGGAATTCCTGGTGAATTCAGTGGTAAATTTAATTTGTGGGTCAAAAGCTGAAAAGTTTGGGAACCACTACAATCGATCAAAAACTGCTGCCTGGTCAATATGAGAGTACATCAGAATGTCAATAGATGGCAGTTGTACATGCTAAAACACTTAACTAAGGGGTGGTTCATAATTTTCAGCGTTTTTAACGAAGTGTACAGAACAAACTCTTTGAAGACCACCCTCTCCACTCCAAACAGAGAAATGTTGACTTTTATTAAACTTATTCTATTATCAGGGTTCCCACAGGTCCTTGAAATCCTTGAAAGTTTGTGAATTTGAAAAAGTTATTTCAAGACCCTGGAAAGTTTGTGAAAACAGCCAAAAATTACCCTTGTCCTTGAAAATCCTTGAATGTTTTTTGAGGATTGAAATTCTCTATTCACACAAGTGATTTTCATCAATTTCAAAAACATTTTAAATTAAAAAATCCTTACATTTGTTGCGGTGGATAGAAAACTCAGGATTACGGTAAGCTGACATCGTTGTTTCTGACTCAACAATTTCTATATTGTTCAGTTTTTCATTGAATTTACATGATATTAAACCTGTTTATTGGTAACTTTCTGCGGTAGCAGTAGGTAATTGCTGTTGCGCGTGGTTCTTTAATTTGAGGATAATTGGAACTGGAAAGTCCTTGAAAGGTCCTTGAATTTGATGTTGACCAAGGTATAGGAACCCTGTATTATAAGTTAAACAGAGACATTGATTTGATTTGATTTATTGATTTAACAGGAAAAGATTATTAAAAATCAAGCCTGACTCAGTATAATTGCTGTTTTACAGCAGGTTCCTGTTCTG